TGTGTGTACCTGGCTGTGTGTACCTGGCTGTGTGTACCTGTGTGTGTGAGGTGCAGGCGTAGCGGCGGTAGTATCCCGGGTCGCAGGACGTGTCCTCCAGGCAGAAGCTGGCCTTGTGGCCCTCGGCCACGTGGCTGTAGGTCCGAGCGTCCAGCAGCTCGTACAGGCTGAACTCATCCATGCTGTGAAAGTGGCTGAACACACGGCAGGTCAATATAAAAATAAAAATTCATTCAAATATTCCAGAAAGATGATCAACCTTACTGACAAACTCTGTAAAAATAGATCCTGTAAAATGTCTTTTTAGTCACTTCTGGAGTTCCTCAGGGTCAGAGTTCAGATTTTACTTTTTACATTTTTGGATCATATTTTATATTTCAGATTATTTAAAATCCCTCACATGAATCTGAGCTGTAGAAGAAAAGCTAATTCAATGTTAGACATATTCTAATTCATCTAGCAATGATAAAATGTTTCTAGTTTTATGATTAACAGATTATTTGATTATTTTCTGTTCCTTGTTGTTTTATTCAAATATTTAGGAATATGTTCAACTCTTGGTTTTAGTTGTGCTCTAAATGTGATTAAATTGAGTAATTTCAGAGTATTTATTTTACTACCTAGTGATTAGAACAAAGTTTTAAACGACAGTGATGTTAGCAATGAGGCTAAAAATCCTTCTTTGCATATTTTGCATTAATCTACTCAGATGTTCCTCAGTTATACGATGGAATATAACATTATTTTCACATTAATGGAAGAATTTCAGAATAATAGCTCATAGCTTGTAGTTTGTTGGGTTTGTTTTTACCTCCAGCCTCCATAAAATCAGCTCTAAAGTGGAAATCTGTAATGATCTGCGTACTTGTGACAGCTGTGCCACTCCCAGGCGTATCGGGGTCTGCTGGGCAGGAAGTCGGCCGTCCCCTGATTCTTCACCCTCTGAGTGAACCGCAGCAAAACTCTGGTGTCGTAATCCGCAGAAGAGCGAGACGAGCTGGAAAACAGAGGAGATGATCCGAGTCGAACGAACAAATTCACAACCTTTAAAAACATAAAGGATAAAAAAAAAATCTAATTTTCAGTTTTATTGTCTTGAATTTTCTTTGGTGCAAACATAAATGGTTTATATTTATATATTTATGGCACTGATTGTAGTTTTCTGGCTGATCTTTAAAAAGTCTGATCTGCTGATTCTGAGTTTGACTGGTTTTGTCTGAAAAGTCTTAAAGTTGTTAACATTGAGGTGAATATTGTGGCCTGAAGGTGTCAGTCATCCCTTTATCACAGCAGAGCAAAAATAAACTGATTTTCAGGCTTTTGCAGAACATCAGCTGATCTCTGATCTAATTGTTCCTGATTTATGAACCAGCTGATATTTTACAGATCTGCAGCAGTTTGCAGCGAAGCTTGAAGGATCTGAGCTTCCTGAAGTAGAACCGTCTGCTCTGTGCTTCATTAGTTTTCATTACAGATGTGAGCAAAACGTTGTCAATATTCTGCTACTGTCAATTGAATTGTTGTGTTTCCACTAAGAAACACAAATAAAATCAAACCTAAATGAGTTTGTTCACATAATAAGTCATAGAAAAAGCCACACCTTCATCGCCATTAATCTCCTTTGTTTCATTAACATTCAAGTTGAGGTGATTGTGTCAAAGCGTCCAGCAGATCTCTGGACTCATTCTGGACTTGGTTCAGGAAACAAACAGAACCAAAGCCCAAAAGCAGGTTGGGAAATTCAAACTGAGCTCAAAAGAACTTCAACTCCTTCCATATCTTCACTAATAAACTCTGCATGACTGAGGAAGAGGAAGCCTTACGATGCGAGGCAGTTCTCCTCAGCGGCGCAGCGCAGGTTGTACATGGGCGACCTCTGGACGTACGAGGCGATCTGGATGTAATACGGATCCGGAACCAGATCCGGGAGACCTGCAGCCAGGAGGAAGCAGTGAGGAAAAACTTTCAGATCATTTTAAATATCTGAGCAACAAACACAGAAACTTTTAAACGGCTTCAGTCAGAAAGAGAAGACGACTGAAGGAAAGTTGATTCTTCTGTTAACTTTAAAGCCTCTTCAGGAAACAAGTTTATATTCAACTGATTTAAATGGAATCAGACATGATTTAGAAGAAGCTGCAGCCTCTCAGTTCCTTCTAGTGTTAAAATCTACTTTAAAAAAAAATCAATCTCCAAATTCAAATCTTACAGGTTTGAAAGGAACATGCAATCTCTTTCTTTCTTTCTTTCTTTCTTTCTTTCTTTCTTTCTTTCTTCAGTTCCACCTTCTCTGCTGTTCTGGTTCTGGTTCTACAGACTGGGTTGGAAAGATTGCAATAACAGCTCTATAACCAACAGAGGGCGCTGTAAATCCCTTTTGAGTGAAAATAAAGAAAAGTTCAATATTTCATTATAAATTAAACAAGTTAAAGCTTAAAATATGTCATTTAGAAAATGTATCTCTTCTGCAGTCAGAGAAGAACCAGAGGAAAACTGGAGCATTTAATGTTTAAAGTGTTTGATATGAATGCAAATATATTTATTTCTGAGTTAACCAAAACCAGAAGGATTGGTTATTCATGTTTACACAAACTCAGCTGGTTTGATTCACTTTTCAGACACAAACTTACATTTTCAGAGACAGAATAATTAGATTTGTTGGTAAAACAAAATAAAGTCAAATTGTTGAATTCTTATTAGGATGGATTTTCTCTCACCATCAGATCTGCTGCTCCAGCTCAGAAACTCATTTAAACAATAACAGCCATCACTCACATCACTAATATTAGCTCGTTTTTAAAATGTTATCTGTTTTCAGCTCCTCTCTTATTATTTTTGATGCTGCTGTAACGGTTCGGTTCTGTTCAGTAAAAGATGCTGATGAGGATAAATCTGTTTTCCTGCAGAGATCAGGAGGTTTGCTGTGCAGAATGAAGTCAAACATCTGTCTGTCTTTAGCTTGGAGCTGATTGGGGGCCTGAGCTGCAGTAATGAGTCAATAAAAGCAGGAATTTAATCACCAGGATTTTCATGAGAGAAAGACATAAAAACCACAGAAGACAGAAACTTACTGCTGAACATGAACCAGTCTGACTCCCGTTTTCATTAATTAAACAAAACCAAACTCAAGATAGCAGCTGGAAAAGCTCGGCGTTGCTCTGACCGTTCTGGTGGTACCGGGTTCCGTATCCGGGCCGGGGCTGGGTCTGGGGTCTGGGTCTGCTGTACGTGTCAAAGTAGTTGTAGTAGGGGTCGTAGCCGTGGCGCTTGTAGGGGTTGTAGGGGTCATCTCCGACCATCATGTCCTCCCTGTTGGCCGGGGCAGAGCCGGCCTGAGGCTGCTGGCGCGCCACGGCGCGGAGCTGCGCGGAGCTGCTGGCGGCGGGGACCCGCGGCGCCCCCCGGGCCGCAGCGCCCGCCGCCGTGTCGTTGGCGCTGCTGAGGACCAGGACCGGGTCGCTGCGGCGCGGGGAGCCGCTCTGCCGCCTCCCGGTGGGTCTGTACTGGGCCCCGCGGCTCAGGATGCTGAAGACCTGCCCGTTGTGTTGCCATGTCAACCCCCTCCGGAGCGCATCAGACTCAGCAGCTTCCTGAGCGCAAACTGTCTCCAGAAAGCAGCAGAGGAAGCAAACATGCGCAAAGGACAGCGCCAGGCGTGCAAAAGAGCGCAGCTTCATGGTTCAATAAATTAGGAGCCGCTGCTTTCCGCTCAGCTGCAGATCTGAGGAGGTTTGGAGCTCAGCTGCTCCGACCTCTGATGGAGGGAGGAGTGAGAGAGGAAGAGCTTCTCCACCTCCAGCAGGATCCTGACTTATAGGAGGGTTTAACTCTTCACGGATCGCTTCACACTGAAACTGTAAAGATCAACCTGCTGGAGCTCGTTTTAACTTTAAATAAACACAAACAAACAAAAGTTTATTTTTGTATTCTTCAAATACATCTATTAATCCTGCTAATTGGACCCGACAACGTGTTTAGTTTGGATTCTTAAATGTTTGGAAAGTTGAGTTTAGTTGTAAACAAGCTGTGGTCTGACTCTGAGATTCTTTCATAATGCAGCTGCTGCAGCTGCTGCTGCTGCTGCTGCTGCTGCTGCTGCTGCTGCTGCTGCAGGCGTCACACAATTGCAGCTCTGCTGCAGCCAAACCAAAGTGCAGCAGCTGCAGCTCGAAGCTGCAAGGGAGGAATAAACTGCAACATTTTATCTGGAATAATCAATCACTGCCAAAGATCTTCTCAAATTATTTTTCATAATCACAAAACCAAACATGAATCTCTCAGTAAAACCATCCTGAGTTTTTCCAGAGTTTTCATCTTGTTGAGATGATTTGAGTTAAAATCAGAGTTTTGATCCATTTTCCACAGTGAGGTGTGAAGCTCAGCCTGTTTGTCTAATTACAGCATCTCTCTGGTCAGAACTGAGGCTGAAATTATTCTGAGGTTTCACTTCTGACTCAACGTCGCTTCAACCTGAAAACTTGTCCACCGAGTCGTTTTCAGGTTATTATTCACAGAACCGGTGGCATCCAGAGCAGCACAGTGATGGAGAGACTTTGTTATTTTGTCGAGTGACGACCAGGAATGTCTGAGATTTTTGGAGACAGAACAACTGAAAGTGGGTTTAGTGACGAACGAGAAGGAAAATTATGCTTTTTTTTTTTTTTACAGAAAAAACTATAAAAATTGTAAGAAATTGAATAAAAATGTATAAAACATTGTATTTGTATTTACACCTCTTGAAGTTTTTGAAGAAAACAGAAAAACATGAATGATTTTTCTTCCACTTCTCAGCTCTGCTCTACTTTGTGTTGGTTTATGACAGAAATCCCATAAAATATGTTAAATTCTGCCCTATATGACAAAATGGAAATAAGGTCAAAAGTTATGACTCTTCACTATAAAAACATAAAATCTTACCAAATATTTTTAGTGCAAAAAACTTGGCATCAGACAAAACTAACACAATAAAGATCAATAATTCCTTAATATTGATGAAAAAACACTGACATATTATTTCACTTGAATTATGAAAAATATCTTGTTAGAAGAGAATCTGCCTGCAGAATTAACATTTCTTTAATCAATAAGGGAATGTTTACTTAAACCTTTATATCTTGCTGAAAAGTTACTTTGTTGTAGTTTTATTTCAAGATATTTACCCGAGAAACTCGTCTAAAAATACATTTAGTGTTTCTGCAGCGTCTGAAACTAAACCTGCCGTCTTTGTTCTACAGCTGATCTGTTCAAACAAAATGCTTTTGTTTGGTTTTACTGGTAAATGACTTCTTGTCTCCTGCTGGGAGCTCAGGATGCTTTAAAACAGCTGAAAATGAGGCTCTACCAGCTGAGACGTTTCCTCTGCAGAGCGCCGTAAAACACACAACCTGCCACCCAGACAGACAAACACTTTCCTTTTCTACCACGTTCAGCTGCAGGTTTCATTGATGTTCTGTGATCCTGTGTGAGGTCATGCAGTGATGTGCTGAAGACAGAGATTGATTCTACAAGCTGAATTCATGAGGTTCTCCTGGTGCATCTGGGAACAAGAGCTGCTGTTTACATTCAGCAACACATTTCCTCCACCTGAGAAGAAATAAAGCTTCTTCTGTAACTTTGAGTTTTCCAGTTATTACTGAAGTCAAAAGTCTGAAACTTTCATTTAGAAACATCAGTGCAGATGCACAATCCATAATCCATAATCCATACCTGAATCAGTGGATGTTCTGCATAATCCAGGCTGAACCAGTTTGGTGATGATCAGCTGAGTTGGTGACCAAGTCGAGGTTTGATGAGGACGGATTCAGGTGAGTGAAAAACCTCAAACCTAAAATCTTTATTCTGTTTCTGCTGCTGAGCTGAAATTATGATTCCATGTTGATTAAAATATGCATGAAAGCTCCTGCACCAAACCTCCATATGCAAACATCAGGTCCTCACAGCTGGGTCAAAGGTCAGCACACACAGAGAGAGGTGTGTGTCTCTGTTGATAGTCGGGTTTAGGCCTGAATGAATCAGGGTGTAACACAAGTTGTATATTAAATCTGAAGCCGATAACTAAAAGAAGTTAAAATCTCCATTATTTATTTTCCACTGGCTCAGGACTTTACAACACAAACTTCAGGCTTTCTGAGGCCAAAACAATAAACTAAAGTAAACCTTTTATCCTTTTATCCACTGATGAGGAGGAAGTGGTTCCAGGTGTGGCAGCAGGTCTGCAAACACAGGAGCACAGATGGATCTCCATGGCGACCCCTAGAGGTCAGAGGACGTAATAGATCCGATTCTTTACCCTGAGCAGGCCTGGAGGACCTTTCTTCTTCTTCTTCTTCTTGTTTACCATCACTGCTTTGCCTTAATTATATTTAATAGTGCATAAAATAATATTTATTTCTGCAAAAGCAAATAAAGTTCATGTGTTCTCCTTTTACTTTGTTTCTATTTTACAAATATCACTAAAATATTATTAATGCAAATTTATACCAAACAACTGCATGAGGATTTGATGTTTATACTTTGATATTATACATTTAATATCAAGGATTGTTATTAAACGGCTCATTGTGAAAGAAGATCATAACAGGCAGAACTGATGAGACTGAAATCATCTAATGATTTTGTGCCCAAAATGTTTTGCAGCCCACAGAGTTAAATAACCTGTTCAGGTCACCTTTGATAGAAATCATTCAACTTTTTACTGTAAACTTCGCCCACACATGCCAGATTTCTCTAAATGAATAAAAACTATATGGCTTGTTTTCAGAAATGTTCAGAATCGTTTGAACGGCTCTTTGAAATGAATGAATCCTGAGGACTGGGCCTTTAGTCCCATCATTTCATACGTTTAGTCACCACCAGAGTCAGTCAGGAATCCAGCAGTAACTCAAAATTAAACGTGTGTGAACTTAGATACCAAACAGGCAACACAGTAAAATCAGACAAGCTGAAATGTGGGTCAGTCCATGTTGCTGGACTGAAGCATCCTGATCCTCCCTGCTGTCATTTTGACTCAGGGCTGGTTAGTTTCCTCTTCCTCTTCCTGTTCTCTCATCCCTCCTGTAACAGCAGCAGCTTCTGCAAACTCTCAGCTGCTTCGCCTGCATGGAAGTCGTTCTGTCAGGAGTCGGATCCTGGAAAACCTTTAAAACAGCTGAAGAGCCGGGCAACCTGACACGACAGAACCAACAACCAGCAGGGCTTTCCTGGAGTTCTGGCTTCTTTTACAACAGGAATGGAGGATTACTCTCATCTCTGTTGGGTAGATTTAATCAATCCATTAGTTCTGAGCAGAAGTGAAACAAAACTTTACTGCCAAACTAACATCAGGGGTTTGGGTGAAGGAAATGCTGGCGTTTGTTTTTTCTCCAGGTAGCCACGCAGCAGCTTGAAGCAGCAAAGTTTCCCCAAAACTCCTCAGAGCTGAAGGAAACATGACCTGTCTGCACAGGAGCTGCATTTTTACTGCATTGTGTAAAGATCAAAGGTATCGCAGCGCTCTGCGCTTTCAGGTTGAAAGCAGCAGCCGCAGCTCAGGCCCCAATGAGAAGCAGGTGTCGGTTTACACGGCTTCATAATGAGAGCTGCTACCTGGAGGGGCCTCCTGCACACAGGACACATAAACAGCCATGGAAACCCCAAACATTACAAACACTCCACAGCAGCCGCTCCGCCGTCACCAGATTGAGTCAGTTTGGGTTCGTAAAGGACGAGTCAGCAGAGAGAGATGAAACATTTCAGGATAACTAGCAGATCAACCAGGTGGGAGCTTCAGAAACGATGCAGGTCAGTAAGACGTTGGTACAGAATGAGGTGTTTGAATTCAACCAGCAGTCCTGAGGCTGCTCTGGAAAAACCGCAGACCTGATTCATGTGGTAGAATTAAAGAAACAGAGACGTGACACACGTGACTGCTGAGGATTAGAAACATGTGTTACAGGGAGCGGTGCAGCTGAACCTGGAGGACCGAGACGAGCCGAACGACCTGCAGGGATCAGGTTGAACTGGTTCAGCTGCTGGTTAGACTGGGATTCATCCAGTACAGAACCTTCCTCACCTTTAACCAAGATATCGGTTGATTTGTCAGATATTTTGATCACTGAGGATTATTTTTGTTTGTGTGTGTATAAGGATCAGATGAGGAGTTCCTCAGGGCTCCAGTCTGGTGCCACTGCTATTCAAAGGTTATATGACTAATGATGGAGGTTTTAATCCACAGAGAAATGTCTGGAGTAAAGCTGGACATCTTAGCATTAAGGTTAATGTTTATTGCACTGAGTTAAAAATGGCTTTTTAAATAATTCCACTTTCTGTTTCTTTATCCATTTAATGTTGGAATATTTTAGTTTTGTTTCCAGACCCTGATTGCTGGTAGAAAGTCGTCTGTAAGGTTGTGAGGACAGCAGGAACCCTGGACGTAACACTGAGACACAGCTTATGTCAGCTAACAGTAAACTGAGTTTCATCTGTCTGGTCTTGTTCTAATCTGTGGGTTTAAATATAAAATGTAAGCCAGGCTGGTCTTAGACAGACATCCTCCTCAGTTTCTTATCTCCATGGTCACAATATACAGAATTATTGCTTTATGTGGTGAAAATCTTTATCTTTAAGCTCCATTCTGGGCTCTGAGCTGAACTTCTGCTAGTGAAGACTTTGGTTCTGTTAAAATGAAAACGCTGTCAGTATTCTGTGTTGTAACGGTTTGACATTAAAACCTGAGCAAAAACCCAGAAAAGAAGGATTTCATCTGAGTCTGATGGAATGTCCTTGAGGACGTGACACTTCTCACT